TGTATGCACTTTCACGCTGTTATAAGAAGGGTAGGTCAATTTTATCAAATCTGAATACTTAAATTTATCGGTTCTCAGAAATCAACGATGCCACATGAAGAAAGGAAACGTCTACAATATTCCGAAGCATCTTTAATATTGGGCTTTATTTCGTTACGGGATATGATCTCATTTGCAAAAGAATTTTTTACAATGATGCAAAAAAAGGTCAAAAATGAAAGCCCATTTAATAAGAATAAAATAAAAAAAATCACAGCAATTTAGAGTACTTTGGAAATCTCAAAGATAAAGTTTCGATGAACTCAAAGAGAAGAATTTCTTCGTTTTTGAAGCATCATTTTAAATTTCATTTATGACATCAAGAATTATGCAGGAAGATTCGAAGCTTCGTATTGAATTATATTTTCTACTTAATTCCAAACGAAGGTTAACCACATGTATACTTATTGAAAATTTATTATTACCAGTAATTCGATAAGTGATAACTACATTTATGAAAATCAATCCGGAAACAATTTTACAAGGTTTGCAACTTACCTAAATTTGTGACTTTAATTGTGAAGAAACTGTATATAACTGTAACTATATGTGTCCTTTCGCTTTCGCTCGCATGCAGACGCTTGCTCCTTGTAACTTATTTTTGTTTGATATAAAAGTTGTTAATATGATGATGACTTATGATATTATTAAGCGAAATAGTTCTTGTCTAGTAGTATAACAACGTGTGTAGTGACTTAATACAGAATAGCAGAGCACACAGTGCATAAGAGGAGAAGATTGTGTATTTCATTGTGTTGAAAATATTTTCTACCAGTATAATATTCCTCTGTCCACCATTACTGAAGATTCATATGATGGTGCATCAGCTTTTGGTGGAAAATATGGAGACCTATGTATCTCAGAAAGATCTCTAACATTTGGACTGCTCGCTGCAATTTACGCAAACAAAATTTAGTTACTAAAAATATTCAGGAAGACCTTTATACCGTTTTAAAGCTACGCATCAAAGCGATAAATGCTATCAAAGCTATGTGCAACTTTGTGACCACAAAGATTAAAGTCAAAACAATGCTTCTTTCCACAAGGTACGCTGACTGTCCAAAAGTAATAGTTTGAGCGTTTACAGCGACTTTTCAATACAGGAATAGAATTCTTTCTTGAAGTTGCCAAACCTATAGCGACACAATTAATAAAATTCAAAAGCATACATTCTTCATGGATGATATATATTTAATGTTGAGCGTCACACAAACAAAGCTGCATTTTATTCATGCTCTTAATCTTACGTTTAAATTATTTATGTACAATTATTTGTATTAATACTATGCTGTATGCTCGATATAACAGAGAAAACGGTAAGGAGATCGATGAAGAAAACTATTTTTTGAAAGGAATCGGTATAAGAAAAAGTTTTGAAGTGCCTGCTCTATAAAAATTTCCATAAGGAGTTCTTCCATCTTCGATCTTCTTCCTTTTTCTTTGAAAGCTCGCCTCATTCTTAGGCTGACCTGTTACATCTACCGGCTTCTGGCCTTCCTCACACCCAAAAGGAGCATTACTACTAATTTTTCACCTGATCGGCATTTGACATTATTTTTGCGCCATCACCTTTAGATATACCATTCAGATACAACTGATACGCTGCATACGAAAGTGCCTTCAGACCTGTGACAGAACTTTCCAACCTGAGGTGCAAAAGATAAGGAATATTTGTCTCAATTTCGACACCTTATCTCTAGCCACAAAATTTTCCGTCAGTCTTTTTCTATTATGATAGAAATTATTGTTGGTACGAGCTTTATTGGTGTTGTAACTCTGTTTAACTCAATTAAAAACCTTCGAAGTGAATTTTTGAAACCGTTAGTTAAGCAAAAATTCTTACGTGTATTATCTCGAGAGGGCTCCTTGAATAGATCCGAACCTTTTTGCAGACTTTTCGGATCCAGAAGGCAGCTTTGTTCCAGGTGCATCTCCATCTTTAGTTTTACTTATATATTATACTTATAGTTTAACTTATATATTATATATGAAATTATATATGAAATCAAGTAGAGAGAAATTAAATAAATACATTCTTAGTATTTTATTAATACTACACACAACTTACTACAATGGTTTGTCGAAGTAATGAATAAGAAAGCTCAAACGCGACCATATTCTTTCAATTTTTTTTATAATTGTAGCGATCTTGAGAACAGCTCAACGCTCGCAAATTTGAAAGAGTTGTAATACTTGAACCTAGCGCAACGGAGGCCTTTTGGAATAGCGGTAAAGAATTCGACTCGCAATAAACTACCCAGGTTCGAGTCTTGCTCTCGCGATGCAACACTTCTCACTGGTGTTAATAGATGGCGACACAAGCAAGCAACTGCCGAAGCTTCATGAACCATGTGATCGCTACATAGTCATAAACAAAACAATTTGGTATCTGCTACCAAAAATAAGTTATTTTGTAGATTGTGGGCGGAGACAGACGAAGTGAGCCATGAGATTTGAGACAGTTGGAATTACTAGTTGCCTCATCGACTAATTTCTTAATATTTTCTATTTTAAATGTGTCTCACATCTTTTCTACTAAAACAGTTGATCATTTCTACTAAAAAGAGTTTATCCATCAATTCCCTGTCTAAGAATAACTCTGCAGATATTTTGGCTGTTATCTCGCACTTTGAGAAACTTAAGGTAGCTACCCCAGCATAAACTGTAATTTTTACACAATTTCGGATAATTTTAACTGTGTTTCTATTTACCTGTTGTGCAAAATTCGATTATTATTGATAATGGACTATTTTGAAATATTTTATGTCAATGGCTGCTCATATTTCCTTAAATATTTAATTTACGAATGGTCCATTATCGGATATTACTTTAATGGAATCAGCCCCGTATTTTGAGATATTTTTTTTAAATAAATTTGCAGCAGTTTTCGCTCATGCCTTCCTGGGGAGATTTCATTCTACCCATTTTGAGAAATGGTCAACTATCACTAATCAAAACATGTTTTTATTTTCTTCACTATGAAGTGTAGGTCTTAACCTATCAATTTCTACAACTGCATTAGGAAAGTGGTTTAACGCTATTTAGGTACCTGATTGTGTATAATTGATACCGTTAATTAGCTGACAGTAAGGTATAACAGAACTTGATATACTCAGTTACGTATCTCTGTAACCGATGGAAAGAAGCTTATTCATTTATCCTCTGCAGTGTTTTCTTGACGCCAAAGTGTCCTAATTGGCCCATCTTGCAATTCATTCAAAATATTTATTCTTACTCGATGGATCTCACTACAATAACTATTCTTATTTCACACTTTTTGGGGGCCCTTATGGTAAAACATCAGTTTATCAACTCCATAATTTACTGCGCTATTCGTAATACAATGATGTTCAAAACTATCAGAATCTTTAAGATCTGTGTAAATATTTTTTAATTCGTGGTTCGACTCCAACTCTCTCTTCTACTGAGTTTAAAATTTTTAACGTTAACATTGCGCATTTGACTTTTTTTTTTTTTTTTTTTGGACATCATCTGATTGATATCGTATCCACTACAACATTTTCTTTCCCACGAGTGGGCATAATTTTTAAGTTATATTCTTGCGGTTTGAGAGCGCGTCTTAGCTTGGCTGATAAATTCTGATAAAGAACAGAGAAATTGTTACCTCCTGGTCCATATATACAATTATTGGCTCTCTGCTGTGACCAGTGCCAAAGCTGGTGGATGCGAATGCCTGTGGGGAGAACTGCCTAAGAGAAGTGGCTCTTTTTAAGTTACATAAGGGCAAAATCAACCATGCAACCAGCACGTTTACTACTTCGAATCGAACTTATTCAAGAGTACATTAAACGATTAGCGGTCAACTTCTTTTATTCAGTACAAATCCACAGTAATAGCCTTATTAGCACTCTCAGACACTCCCCGCGTCGCAGAGAAAAACATCGGTACCCATGTGATATCCTACCCACATAAGAATAACAACCTTAATTGACTCATTCACGCTAAACTGACTCTGCGGTTTACCACCCGCGGCTACATCTTATAACGACACTGGACTTGACCCCCCCCCGTCTTTTCGCCTCCGCTAGTGCAGATTTCACTCTTTTCCGCCCCCACGCTTCTCACCCTCTCTTTCCCTCCTCCCGACCTTTCAGAATCGAGTAAAAGATGTTTCTACATCTTGACACTCGAGAATAAAATACGATCCGTGTGTGTGTGCACGTTAACTCAACGACTTCATATCACTCAACGACCTTTTTTTATGGGGAAAGCTTTGAAAATTTACTTAGAGCTGGTACACTTAATGACAGCTTTGCCAGTTCACCAGTCAACAATAGTCGTACTGCAGTTTGTATTTCTCGGCTAGTGATAGCACTCCTCTTATAGTAATGAGCTAAGCGAGAAGATTCTGCTGCAATGCTTTCGAAGATGTCTTTAATGAATGAATTCATGATAGACATAATAGCCTTACTCGAGATGCCAGTGTCGGGGTGAACTTGTTTCAAAACCTTGTAGCTGTAAATAGCGAAAGATTCTTTCCTGCGTTTCTTCCTCTTTTTCTTGTCACCAGCTCTGTGCCTTTCTGGCCTTCTTTACAGCTTTCCCAGATGCTTGAGGAGGCATTTTTTGAGTCTACGAATCAACGGAAATCCAAAAAATGCACTCCAGTGGAACAGTGTGTCGAGACACTTGTGTATCTAGGCTAAAAGTCCCGTGTAGAACCTGTGTAAAACATTTGGTAAATTATGGTATATATCTCGTTGCGTTCACTTGGGATCGAACTCCTAGCATTCAGCGGCTTTGACCACTCGGCTACTAAAGAATCCACTCAACTTGATATCTAGTTGTTCTTAGGCTAAATCATCAGGAAAAGGAAGATAGAAACCAAGGTTCCAAGAACCGTCTTTCTACAGTCCTTGGATAGAAACATGTTCCTTTTCTACTAAGCTTGATTTTTTGTTCATGCGGGCAAAAGACTTAGTAGGTGCGAAACAAGGGATCTTTCCACTTTCTCTGTCTTGTTATTGCTTTTAGTTGCACTATGCGGGAGTAAGGATAGGTTTGGAATATGTCGATTCCATGTTTTTTTTTTATGTACTAGGTTGTGTGAAATGTGAAAGAAAAGAATGGTAGGTTTATCTGTACCTCAATATACATATTTTTTTTGCGTGCTTTGTTTTTGTTTTAATTCATAATATATAATCGTCTGCTTCTAGAAACTAAAGGATTTAATTTGAGACAGTCGTAATGTTTGTCAGTTACTGGATTTAAAACTGGGTTTGCTTGTATGTTCATCGCTTGAAAAAACAAGATTTCCATCTTCCGTAAGAGCAGATAATATTAGAAACATGGGGTTTTCCACTGACCTTCAGGATGCATTTTCTCACGAAGCTCTTGTTGGATTACAAGATGCAGAACTGAAACTGTTAGAAAATATGAAAAAGTGTGTCTTGTTGCGTGCAAAGTGTGACAGAGATTATGCATCTGCTTTGACGATGGTAAGCCTTCAGGCCCAGAAACTTGATCAATCGAAAGAATTGGAAGGGAGTTCTATTGCCAGAGTAAGTAAATCCACTTTTCTTAATTTAGAACGGCAATTAAATTTTATTTCAGATTTCCCTACTATCATTTTCAATTATTTAATCTTTCTCAATGCTAAAGTTCATGTTGCATTGTACATATTTGAACTGTGTATCTTATGATGGAGTTTAGATATATCTTCTTAAAATTGAAATCATGAAAATTTAATTATGAAAATCTAGATTCCAAAATGAATTGATTAAATGGTTCACTGGCATTTCACTTTCAACAAATTTGTGACATATGTTACTTTGGTTGATCTTTACATTATGGTAACTTGGCGATTTTTTGGCGAAAATTTGGCAACCAACTCTCCTACAGCAACCCTCTATTTTTTTTTCCCCGCCGCCATTTTGTCTTCACGAAGTAAAGACATGTTTTCTTTTCTTTTTATCTACTGAACACTTCTTCCAACAATAGTAGCCGAATTACACGTATGCTAGAAATTTTATCAAACAAAACTGCTTAATTATGACAAATATTCACTGCAAAATTGGGAAAAAGTGCACAATACCATACTCCTTTAAGCGTTTTTCAAAATAACACATACACATAAACCATGTACACGCCGACTTATTTTTACTTAAAAAAACATCCCAGAATTGCACAAAAATGGCATTGCGCACACTCTTCACTATATCCATGTACACTGCTTTTTTCTCATAAATTAGAAAAATTCACGAAAAACATGACAATTTTCTCAATCTTTAAACCTGGTAAAAAGAACATATATGAAATTACCTGATCGCGAAAAAGTATTACCCTTTCAAATATGAACATTTCCACATATAAAATAATAAATATCCAAAAACTTTTACCTCTAATCATCTATACATTATACACGTCACCAACGAATTCATACGCAAGCATTACAAATTTTAGTATCAAATATTTAAATTATTTCATGCACGTTTATCAACTTAAACGTAGCCAAATTCCACAAAAAAATTCACAAAAACTATCATTAATTAAAAATATCACTAACCATGTACACCGTCGACTTTTTTTACTTAAAAAAAATCCCAGAATTGCACAAAATGGCATTGCGCACTCTTCACTATCCATGTACACTGCTTTTTCTCATAAATTAGAAAATTCACGAAAATACATGACAATTTTCTCAATCTTAAAACCCGGTAAAAAGAAACATATATGAAATTACCTGATCGCGAAAAAGATTTACCCTTTCCAAATATGAACATTTCCACATTAAAATAAATAAAAATCCAAAAACTTTTACCTCTAAATCATCTATTACATATACACGTCACCAACGAATTCATACCGCAAGCATTACAAATATTAGTATCAAATTTTAAATTATTTCCATGCACGTTTACTTCAACTTAAACGATACCCAAATTCCTACAAACATAAAATTCACAAAATAACATCATTAATTAAAATATTAAATTCAAAAACACTACTTAAAAAATACTGTAAATTACCTTACAATCCTAATTACTAAAATCTTCCCAAAATACCAAATTCTTCCACCTTCCATTTGCAACGCAAAAAATAATATACAAACATTAAACTACGAACTTACCTAATCTTCTTCAGAATCTGATTACGTGTCTGATAAACTTTCTTTAGTTAGGCCATGGGACCTAAAATTCACGAACACTGTTTCAACAACCCGAATAAACCAAATACAAAATTTCCAGATTTTTCCCCCCTTTTCCGATTAAAGAATGTAATTCGTCCATTAATATCAACAGACATATCCCATGATCTCTCATTTCCCTCACACAAAATAATGCGTATCGGAACTGAGTACTGCTCACATTATTACCAAAGTCCCAGGTAGTAACCTTTATCGCCTCCAAAATGTCGCCAAACTACCAGTTACCATATTGTAAAGATCAACCGTTACGGTATACCATTTATGCATAAGTTTGTACAAATAATGCAAAATAACTAAAAAGTGAATTTAATGTGCATCCTAAATGAAATCTTGAAATATATTATTAAATCAAAAAATATACATGAACTGATAACATTTTGTTTAAAATACACTGGAATGGTTGAATGCGCCTCTTAATTTGTTTCTTTTTACAGTTCTAATTTTCAACTTTCTTTCTGTTAAGTTAAGTGTGATGGGTGATTTCATAGTTGGGTAAAAGTATATTTTAGGGTACCCCTTGGCGATACATGGATACTGAGTTTGTGCAATTCTTTGACCTGTTATTTTGGCTGTCGATTTTTGGCGCAAAAATTGCCGTTACACAAGCCAAAATAACAAGTCTAAGAATTGTACAAACTCGGTAGCCATGTACACATAGACCTATTTTCCCTTCAAAATCCCCGAATTGCAGAAACTATGCTTTACACACTCCCTTGAGTCCGTGTACACATTGATATACACCTTGAGTCATTCCGTGTACACTTTGATTTTCACCTAAAAAGTTTAGGAGCACCCATTTCTACAGTAAAGGTAAACAAAAAATACATAATCTCAATAAACTACATTTTAAACTAAACAGTAAAATAACACAAAAAAAGGAAAAACCTGTTATGTATTTTAGCACTGCACAAAGGAAATATCTCCTTACCTTATTTAGAAATTCGTTCGTCTTCAGTCTGTGGCATGCAAAATTCCTTAACCATATTATAAAATTATCTGAACTACAATTCATATATCAGCCTCGAACAGAAATTCACAAAAATAAGAGTCAAATATATACTACGTAGTTCCAGACTATGGATACTAAGTAAACCTTCATATACAAACCAGTCAATTAATGGGTTGATCTTTGGATTATGGTAACTTGGCGAAAATTTTGGCGACCAACTCTGCTACAGCAACCTTCTATTTTTTTTTTCCCGCCGCCATTTTGTCTTCACGAAGTAAAGACATGTTTCTTTTTTTTTTTATTTACTCAACTCTTTTTCCAACAATCTACTAGCCGAATTATACTTATGCTAGAAATTTTATGTAACAAAACTGCTTAATCATGACAAATATTAACTGCAAAATTGGGAAAAAGTGCACATCGCAAACTCTTTGCGTGTTTTTCAGAATACCACATACACATAAACCATTTACACATCGACTTATTTTTACTTAAAAAAACATCCCAGAATTGCACAAAAATGGCATTGCACCCACTCTTAACTTTATCCATCTACACTGCTATTTTCTCATAAATTAGAAAAATTTCACAAAAATGCATGAAAATTTTGTGAATCTTTAAATCCGGTAAGAAGCACATACAGTCAAAAGTCGTTAATCCGGACTCGTCGGGACTTTGGCGATTCCGGATTATCGATTTTTCCGGATTATAGATCATCAGTTTAAATCTCGTAAGATGGCATGCAGAAATTCCAAAAGTAAAAATATGAAACCGTAATTTATGAAATAAAGAACAATTATGATCTAAAGGGTATCAAAATTTGCAAAAAGAAAAAGCTTAATATTTATTTGTTTACTTTATTAAACATTTCTTTCAATGTAAGTTGTTTAAGTTTTGCTTCGTTTCATGTGATAATACTTTCTCTTTAATTCTATTAAACAGACATAAATTCTTGTTCAGTTACAAAGTTCCGCCGTTCAAGTCCTATAATTGCTGTGTCAAGAACACCGACTAATTTGTCAATCGAAATTTTTTTGTTTTTCAATAACCTCTGTCACTTTTCTTCGCTATCGGAAGCGAATTATAATGACGAGGAACTTGTTTTAAATCATATCAAAGACGGAGCATATCGAGATGAAATACTACATTTGGTAAGGAATTATAAGCCAAATAAAATAAAAACATCTGCGCTGAAGATAAGGATAGTGCTGACAAATCAACTTCCAATTCATTACGCGCCCGCCGCCGAGCAGTGTGAAAATGATAAACAGATTTCGGATTTCAAAACGTACTTTCGCTTTAGATCCTTTACATATTAACAAATATATATCGGAAATTCTATTTGATATAATCGAAAGTTTAAGCTTACTTTTATAAAATTGCTCTTACAGTCTGCAAAAAATAATAAGCCGGATGCAATTCGAAAATTAAGGAACAACGCAATCATGAACATTAACTGAATAGATAATTATTTAGCTTATACGTCCATTATACATAAAATGCGCACGCGAAAACGTATTCTGCACTTGCGCACACTCATATGTGCAGTCGTAAAAGGTCTTACGCGCACGCGTGTACGCCTCTGCGCATGTGTCAACACGGCGCATGCGCAGAAAGTTTTTAGTTTTGATGTCCGGATTATAGATCATTCTGAATTATGGGTGTCCGAATTAACGACTTTTGACTGTCTATGAAATTACCTGATCGCGAAAAAGTATATACTCTTTCCAAGAATGAACATTTCCACATATAAAGTAAATAAAATATATAAAAGCTTTTACCTCTAAATTATCTATAATATTATAAACGTCGCCAACGAATTTATATGCAAACATTAAAAATAGTTACAAATATTTAGTGTCAAATATTTAAATTATTTCCATGCACGTTTACTTCAACTGAAACGAATACCAAATTCCTACAAACATAAAATTCGCAAAATAACTATCATTTAATTAAAATATAACTAAACCATGTACACATCGACTTATTTTTACTTAAAAAAACATCCCAGAATTGCACAAAAATGGCATTGCGCACACTCTTCACTATATCCATGTACACTGCTTTTTTGTCATAAATTAGAAAAATTTCACGAAAATGCATGAAAAATTTTTGAATCTTTAAATTTGGTAAAAAGGACATATATGAAATTACCTGATCGCGAAAATGTATATACCCTGGACATTTGCACGTATAAAATAAATAAAATATACAAAAACTTTTACCTCTAAATTATCTATTATAAACGTCACCAACGAATTTATAACAAAACATTAAAAATGATTACAAATACTTAGTGTCAAATACTTAAATTCTTTCTGTGCACATTTACTTCTACTCAAACGTATTCCAAAATACTACAAACATATAACTCTCAAAATCACAATCATTAAATTAAAATA